GTAAGAGAAAGAGAAAGAGCAAAAACACCCAGGTTAGTCATATAGTATTAAAGTGATGACTTAACTTCCGTGAGCTTTAATTTTTCAGTGACAGAAAAGCAGGAGCTCTTCCAGGTTTAAATTTCCATTCCAACCTATCCCACAAGAGAGACTTTACTAATTACCCTATTCCAATGAAGATTTTTAATTCTCATAAAGCTAGCTTACTAATAAATTTACTCAAAATCCTTTACCTCAAAATAAAGACAATTGTGTTAAGGGCTTAAAACAGAATTCAGAAGATTNTTATACTGTAATAAAAAAATTTGTTAATGAAAATGTGTCAATTTTCCCTTTAAGGCGTACTACAAATTATTTACTTCACAGGTTTTAAAAAGCATATTGTAAAGTACACACTTCTTACCTGAAAGCTCCGTAAAGTGGTCTGTACCAACAGACAAATGAACAAGGAGTAAAAAGCAAGAACCACAGGATACTCAATCCAAAATCAACCCCTCTTGCAGAATCAACACAAAACCAAGCCAAGCATCCAAAGATATTTAGAAACAGTGTTACAGCGTGGACTGTGGAATCAGAAAACAAAATAGAAAAGAAATGTTTACATTCAATTTATGAATTCATTCAACAAAAACTATACATGAAAAAAATATTTCTTAAGAGCAAGTGTATTCTACTCCATATTTCCATTTAGTATTTTTCAAAACACTACTATTTCTTACACATTTGACTTGAAAACAGAGTATACACAGGAAACGGAGTCCTAATACACTTTCTGTTTGACAAAAATTTTGTTGGCCCTCTCTTCCTAACAGACAATTACACAGCTAAACCAGAGAAGCACTCTCTTAAGGGCTTCATCCCTGAGAAAGAAACATATGATCTGTCTCTTTATCCAAGCTGTCTTTTGATCCAAGGGCCAAGAAGAAAAGTATTGCTTGCTAGGAAAAGAGCCAGGACTTGGAAGGAAAAAGATCCTACGCTCAGAACTATATGTTTAAAAAATAGGGCTACAGACTAAAAACTGGATTAAAAATACTAATACAGTAGCAATTTCCAGTGACTATATAGTCAATCTACAAGGATTATATATTCATCTTCACAGAGTTGTCCATTTTTTTAAAAGTCCTGAAAAAAATTGTTTTGGCAGAGGATTAAATTTATTTACCACCATCATTAATTAATAAATTAAATTTATTTATCCACCCACCCCACTCAAACACCATGACGCCTTTCAGCTGCTGTGGCAGGCCTTTCCTTTGATTAATACAAACAGATCTTGGCAGACTCTTCATATGCTGTTAATAATTGCTTTCCCAGACAGACCAAAAACTGAGTAACATCTAACTACACTATGATCCTAAAGAACC